AAGTATGTGCCAGACTAGCTTTCCAAATGGAGCTATCTACCCTAATACCATACCCCTGCTCTTTCTCCATACTATCTTTATTCTTCAAATAAGCCAAATCTATTGAGAAAAAGCAGCTTTCAGATTAAGATTGAAAATAAGAGTTTTCTAAAATTCTGCATAATTTATACTTTAAGACAATGGTTTTAAGACTAAGACCACGAGCAATTCCAAGCCTCACATTTGAGGCAGTTTTAAATCACAAGATTAATCTGGATAAAGAAGGCCCTTCAGCACATAACCCCATATGATCTTATCTTTCCAAAATACCCATGCTACCATCTTCCTATCACTGTTTTATAAATGAGTCCAGTGTCAGGTTCATGGTAACCTGTTCCTGTTGGTAAAGAAAAGCCTCCTGATATCTGCAACTCTGAACCTATGTCCTCTCGTTCCACTGTCTTGGTCCACTCTAAGCCAATTGCCCACAGCAATGTCCCACAAACAGTCGTCGATTGAGTGACTGCATTTTTTAAAAAAAAATTGAGGGATTATTACCTCCAGAAAAGCAATCCTCCAATCAACTAACAACCGGGTACCTTCTTACTGCCAGGTAAACAGAGAGATGTGGAGTAAAGAAACTTGCCCAACCTATATCTCATTTGATGGTGCAGCCCCTGAGAGTTAATGATAATGCTTCCTTTTGAATTTCATTTTCCATGCCCATTTGCACTTTTCTACATTTCAGAGTGTAGGTTTTAAGACAAAAAAAGCCGAATACAAAGATTGATGAGTGTGTTAATACCCAAATGAAGGGAAAGCCTATTCAAATGTCAAATGTTGCAGAAAACTTGGAAACATCAGTCATTGATTGACAAAACTGTAGCTTTTGAAGAATGTTCTGCTTGAACCAAAAATTAAGCAAGGAGCCTTGCGGATATATTTGGCTGGTCAGAAAATATGTACTGCCTTCTGCAAATGCATAGAGAATTTTAATTAAAATATAATTCTTTAATGTGTTTATTTTTCACAAACTGCACATCTGTCAGGGGGGAGGGGTGAAAGAAAATATTCAGTAAAATCACACATTGCACAACAGTGCTGAAGGATATTGAACAATTTTTATTCAATTTATATCCTGATGACCTGCTTAAATATTTTGAAATATTATCCTGTGATAGTAGGTTAAAATGTATTTTAAATAGGTTAATGACGTAGCTCCTGCTTTTCTAGCGAATAGAATACATAAACCAATTTGTTATCCTCTTGGGATTATACAATAGGTTGCCTGGGATTTGTGTAACTATATAATACATATATTGTGCTCTTAGTTTTTATTTAATTCAATGAATAACTATTCTGTGAAAGTCTGCTCGCATATCTGTGTTATTAATCAGGACATTAAAAACTACTTCTACAACAAGTTTTGGTAATGATTTGTTGGCTATTGTATAATCGCTTTATTCCACAGGTTAATTTTCTTTCTCATGAAAGGCAATATACATTACACTTTTAATTGTTCTTTGTCCAACAGAGGATAACAAATTGGTTTATGTAATCTATTCGCTAGAAAAGCAGGAGCTATATCATTAACCAGCGCCTTGACGTGAAAGGCGCTATACAAATGTAATCTTCTTGTTGTTGTTTTCACAAATAAAGACAGAAAGAGTTGGAAATGCACAACAGCTCAATCAGATCTGAAAAATAAAAATGGGTTAATATTTTAGGTGGAACCCTTAATCCAAATTTGTGTGTCAGCCTGGCACAGGGCTAGCACTCTCATCTCTGAGTCAGAAAGTTGTGGATTCAAGTCCAACGTCAGGACTTGAACTCACATAGTCTAACCTGACACTGCAATCACTGAAATGATGAAAGTGCTGGGGGTGCGTAGCATTGTTAGAGGTAAGGTCCCGTCTGCCTGTGCAGGGAGACTTTAAAGATGTCATGGCACTTTTCGAAAAGAGAAAGGAGTTTCTCGTGAAGTCCTGCAGCTTAATGGTTAGAGCACTCACCTCACAAGCGACCTCACGACCTGGGTTCGATTCCTAGGTGGGGCGAAACGTTGGCCAAGTTTCTTTACTCACACACCTCTGTATACCTAGCAGTAAGTTGGAACCTAGTTGTTAATCGACTGGGGATAATAATTCCTTCAAAACATTTTTTTTTACAATTTGGTCATTCAATCCACGACTGATTGTGGGACACTGTTGTGCACAATTGGCTGCCGTGTTTCACCCACAAAACATACAGTCACTTCACTTCACAGTATATTCTGTGAAACGCTTTGAGACGTCTCTCAAAGCGGCTATCAGTTACTGATTGGCCAGCCTGTTGTGCATTTCTGGAATTCTCTGTTTCTGCTTTCACAGGTCATAGTCCAACATTCATAGTTTTTCTTTTTATTTCCATCACCTATAACTTGTATGAAAACGAGCAATGTAAAGAAAATAGTGGATGGAGAAAATCTGTGATAATACGCAATTTAGAATGTTGTTAGATTTCAGTGACATTATCAACTCACAAGTCCAACTCTAGTGAGATTTTTAAGAAGGAAATTAACTTTTGTAATTAGTGAATTGTGACACTTTAATAATATGATCTTCAGAAAATAATCTTATTTGTGAAGACAATTACAGTGCGGTAAAAATAATTTGGTTTCAAGCAGCTGGCAGCCTTGAAGAATAAATAGGAACCAGATTATTAGCACTTACAAATTGCATAGTTCATTTCTTGGCAGGTTGCCCTATATTTGTTAAATACATCCTGACAAGAAATCAGAGATATAATGATCCCATAGGCCAGTATGCTGTTGGGGTTCAAAAAACAGCGAATGAAGATGTTTATAAACATGACACAAATGCTGAGGGCTGTTGTTGAATCAAAAGAGATTTTATTTCACACATAGTCTAGTCGACTAATTGATGAATTTCTCCAAGTGGTCACAGAGACAACATTAGTTGGTGTTTCTACTTTGCTAATATTTGTGGAATATGGAAGTGAGAATTAAAATAACACTGCGGGTCTTACTGAAATGGAAAATGGCTTCCTTGAATATATGCCTTGATCTATTTATTGTCACAAAATTCATAGAATTCAACAAAAAGTGAAAGAATTGCAGCTCCATGTGTGCCCACATGCCTCCTTTTTAAGATTTTAAGACAGTGTTTAAAGGCGTGAAACCGAGGACTTTGTTGCTTCTGGAGATACAAACTATTTTCCACTTATTCTGTTAATCATCTAGTTATTCATAGAACTTATGAATCGTGTGAATATATTTTTGAAAATTTAACATGAAATAATTTGGGACTTTACCAAAGTATTGGACGTGCATGCATTATTATTTTTCATCTTACCTTCTTTTAATCCTTATATTTACTGATTTCCTTCACAGCTTTGTCAATCCTTTCATAACCTCTTTAATACTAATAATTTTCTGAGCATTGGGGAAAAACAAGCGTTTGCCCATGAGAGGAGAGGGAGAGGCAGCCATGAAGCATGTCACGGCCCACTTCCGTGCACCATCCAGTGTTTGAAGGCATTGACCCTGTGTAGGCAGAAAACAAAAGGTCAAACATTGTAGAAAAAAGGTATTTTTTCCCCCAAAAAAACTGTTGTACCAATTAGCTGTATTTCCTAGTATTACAAAATATTACTGATAGATTATTATGTTGATATAATAATCTATTATAAGACATATGCTTCATTTATAGGATATACTTCCCTGGGTAGGGGAGGCAGGGTAAGAAGGGGGCCCTTGGAGCTGAGCTGGTTCCAAGATGATGTTCTTACAACTGAATGTCTGAATCAAGTTAATTTTCGGTGGCCGTCTCAGTAGCCGGTTCTGCTGCCGTATGCCATGTCACTGCTGAGTACGCACCAGCCAGCCTGGCTCATTGGCAGGACTTGAAGGGATTGACGTGCCTACTTGGCATCTTTAACTTTGAGGTTTTAACCGGTCAAGCTCCAGTATTCCCCCCAACATACAAAACCCCAGCCACCGACAAACGGCAGTGGCATGTTGAAGTGAGAAAAGGAGTGAAGTGCTTTGAGGAACAATGCCGTGTTAGTGTGGAAACAAGACCCAAGAGATGGAAGGATCGGCAACATCAGCGGGATCAACAGGAGAAGCCCCCCCCCCCTCCATGGGACATGGTCATGTGAGGCTGTGGATAATGTCTGTCACGTATTGGCCTGCTTAGTCATCAACTCACCATCAACAATGAACGTATACTCTCTTCATTGTCTGCAACATCATCCTCATGTACGAGGGACACACTACTACCCCCAAGATACAATCGGGGGTCCCCAAGCCTCGTCTCTTGCCAACATGTGTCTAATACTCTGCAGAATTATAAAAGGTGTATACTTTACATTCCAGGCACAGGGAAATATCCATGTGAGTGTCATACGTGGAACTCTGATATGCTCTTAAGCTTTCTGCATGTCAGGCACCCGTCTGACCAAAAACAAATTCTAATATCTACTGACATTATTCCTCTGTAACACTTGAATATCACTTCGTAAACCCATCACATTGCAGTCGTTGACCGTTCAGCATCATCACACATTGACCATGTTGGATGTTGGTGTCAAACATCACACACATTTGTAATCATTCCCAACAGCCGTTTGCTAGTATTAGAGGAATGCTGCGTCCTTCTTTAAACACTAGACTGTGGTTAACAATCAAAAACTTTTTTAAGAAACAATTTTAAGTTTAGTTGGTATTTTTAAAATATCTAGGTACTAGTTGTAAGAACAAAACTAACTAAAATCCTAATTGGTATATGAGATCAAAAATTGCATTCTGATGTCTCTTTCCAGATTGTTCTTTGATATTGCTATATGGTTCAGGTGACCTCCTACAAGTGGGATTGTACCTCTAGCCTGTTCACCATTTTTATCTTGTTCTATTGTTACATTCTATGCCCATAATAGCTTATTAACAGCTTCACATGCTTAACCTCTTCTCACAAGCTCTGTCATTTTGTTTTCCCTATTCTTTTGCAATCTCTCTGCAGGTAATTTTTATGCACTCATTTCCAAGCTCCTTGGAGAAAGAGAAGACGTGGTTCACGTGCATAAGTACAACCCTACCCAGAAGGCAGAATCAGATCTAGTTGCTGAGATTGCTAATGTGGTACAAAAGAAGGACCTTGCTTCTGGTACAAGGGAATTTTTGGAATTTGATGAGAGATTTGATCCTGCCCTAGTACGAGACAGAGTTCACAAATTCCACAGGCTAGAGTCTACTGTAAGGCCTTCTGTCAATAAGCTTCTGTCAACTCTGGAGCATAGACCTGAGGTAGCCAGCAGAGACACTGAACATAAAGGAGGTGGGTCAGGTCTTCTGTAAAACTGTGATGTGCTGCAATCCCGCATTTCCTCTTCATCATCAAAATCTGAAGGGATGAATGATTATTTTTACTGCATGTTGCTTTTTGGGGGGAATTAATGCTAATTACAGTACAGTGCTATTGCAGGTAGATCAAAAGAGTAGGTACATTTTACCATATGGTTTGTACAGTGTTACTTGGTCCTGAAATTTAAAAATAATCATGAATTTTGCAATTCTGAATTTTTTTGGTGTTAATTTACTAAGTTTAAGAAAAGTTTAATAGTTTCTTGGCAACTCCTCCAATTACAAACAGTATATAATTTTAATTGATTTGAAATGGATTCATATATGAAGATTCCAAAAACTTACCTATATCCACATAATGACTACCCAGTTAGTGGATCAATAACCTGTTCCCTTCAGGTTTCTATGGAGGCCAGGTTTGATGGTGTCATATTGTGATGTGTTGTGTTTCTGTGGTGTTGCTGTTAGTGTTGTCCTCTAATAGCTTACTGACTGTAGCAGCATTGATAAAGCATCTTTTAAAAGTGACTGATCTATACACTTAACAAACAAACCATGCTCTACTGGAATGTCTTTTGCCTGCTTAGCAGTGGTTGATTTACAGTACGTGCTTCTTTGTGTCTGGAAATACAATGGATGGCTAAGTAAAGTGTCCCAACACTGAGTGCTAGAATGCATTTCATTCTCCCACGATGAAGCGATCCTAATTCATTTGGGGCAACACTGAACTGGGGTCATTCTTGACAGCTGGTTTACCGTGGCATTGATTGAGTCATCATGGTTAGCCCATAGTTGTGCATAACTTGGGAAGATCAGAGAAAGAAAATAAAGAGAAAAACAAAGAGAGTTTTCATCTCACTGAAAGTTCTTTTTAAAACAATCAATTAACATTGAAGTGTTTACAAGTCAAATATTCTTTGGAATTCTGTCATTTACCTTTGAATTGTTTGAGGTTTTGAGATATTGAAATTGAGATTGTGAAGAATTAATATGGTTAGGATAAAATAGTAAGAAAAATAATGTTGTTAATCAAATACCAGTTGGTAGCATTCTTACCTCTGAGACAGAAGCTTATTGGTTCAAGGCGGAAGTCAGGATGTGAGCTCACAGTTCAGGCTACTGCTACTCCTGTAGTGCAGTACTGTTGCAGGTGCCATCATTCAGATGAGATGTTAAATTGAGATCTTGTCTGTGCGTTCAGGTGGACATTAAAGATCCATGACATTATCAAAAAGTCAAGCAAATTTCCCCACCAGTGTCCTGGTCAGCAATCCTCCAGATAAATTGTTCATTCACTTATAAGAAAATAAGACTCAGCTAGGCGAAAGAATGCTAAGGTCCATCTTGTTCATCTCCTACCATCCTGATAGTTGCTTAACACGTATGCCGAGATATTATTTTCTAGCAGAAATCTTATCTTAATTTATCAAAATTCACAGATGTTTGTGAGACTGATTGGTTGCTATATTCACTTACGTATACACAGACACTGCACTTGACACCAATTAGCTGTGAAGCACTTTGCTCCTCTGCACAGGATTGCTTCTTATAGCTCTTAGGTCCCTCTCTTGTGTCACTCAATGGGGAAGAGTTGGGTGACTGAGGAGCAGAGACTGCTAACTTGTGGAGGGTACTGTTGGTTGATCGGCTGAGGCACATAGAGGTTTTCCTTGTACGGCCTGTCCCCAAGACTCTCTGGCCAGCACCCAGCCCAATAGCACCAACAAGTGTTCTTTGTGGCCTGACTGGACGACACAATCCCAGTCGGCCCTCTATTAACTGAGGCCCCGGGGTGGGGGGATAGAGTTTATCATTTATTCATTAACTGATCAGCAATTGAACACATTTCTTCCTAACTTCTGAAAATAGTACGACTATAATCGCCCTTGGGTTCATATTTGTACTGACAATAAAAAGGAGCTTTGTTATAACTTTCAACAAAGATTTTTAAAACTCCCCCACATCATCATCACAACAAAAACGTTTTTAAACAGTTACAAATCTTAACCCAAGCATTCAGGGGTTAGGCTCATTAGTTAAATATTTATGCCTAACGCATAGTAGATTTTGTGAACAAAAAATGTCAAGAGGGTTATTATTAAGTTTATGGTTATGGGGGGGCCACACAATGCAGTCGCAATGTGCAATGAATGAGTCTCAACTGCACCGTCTGGTGGAGTTAGCAAATGGAAGTAACGTTCCTCAGAATGTTGGAGAGCAAGTCCACCTGCACTATAATAATCCTTGCATTTGATATAGTGTCTTATCATGTCTTCTAGACATCTCAAAGCACCTGGCTTTTTGAATAATGTCATGGTTCTGTACTGTAAAGTGAAACAATCTTCATTACCTCCTGGTAGCTGGTAGATGGAAGTAGAAGACAAGATAAAGGAACTTGTATGGTTTGAGTTCAAGTGTTTTTTAAGAGCTTGTGGGATGCAAGTATGCAGAAATATTTATGCAAATAATTTGTGCCATTTGTGTTTTAGTATACTCTGTGGAACCACTTAGTATGTTATCAAACAACTGAATTAATAGGTATTTTTAGGTCAAAACCCTCAGCGGGTTGTTGTTTTATACTTTGTTTTAGTTATTCTATTGTAAAAAAAACACTTATAAAATCATAAGCCTTTCACTCCTGTCGGTAGCTTAATAGCACATTCATTAGCATACCAAAATGTATTAACGTATTTAAATTTGGAATAATTGATTACATTAACTAAATTTATATTCTACAATAAACCCATCTAACAGGAATTCTAAGGAATAACAGTGAGCAGGATTTCACTCTGGATCATTTATTTTTGCTTTATTTTCCCTTCACTGTTTTGCTTTTTATTTAACCAAGGATTGTTGCATTTTCTTACAAGGTTGAACCATCTCAAAGAGCTTCACAGGTAATTGTTATCAAGTTCAGTGATTATTTGTGGACAAATACAGACAATCCGCACGCAACAATGTCCTGTAAACTGCCATGAAGTGAATGAACAATTTAATTAATAAACGGGACACTGGGGGAAACTCACTTGTGTTTTTCAATAGTGTAATGGGATCTTCAATGTTAATCAAAACAGGTGAATAATCAGTTTCATCTGAAGGACAGCACTTCCGGCAATGGAGCACTAAAGTATCCATCTAAACTGAGTTCACAGTACCAAGATAGGGCTTGAACCCAAAACTTTCTGACCCAGTGCTACCAACTGAGCCAGGCTTACACCTCATCCATAATCTTTTCCTTACAGAATTTATTCTATTGTATTCCCATTACAGGAGTAAACTGTGTTATATTTCAAATGATGGAACTTCACTGTTTCACAAAAAGTATTGTTAGTCAATGACATTCATGTCTAGTCTTGCTTTATAATATTGCATTTAGTTAACTGCTCACATAGAAACTTACTCACTGGTTAAATCCACACTCATCAGAAGAACACACCGAATTATATGATTTTAAAATCACTTAGGCACTTGAGTTTAGCAGCTGCTATAATGCAGAACCATTTACCTCATCACAGTAATTTTGTTGAGATTTATATTAAATTAGAAGTCACTTGACCCCACTGGCTCCCCATCTCCCAGCAGATCGAATTTTCAATTCTCTTTATCCTACCTATATGACCCCCTTTAAACCAAATTCCCAGTCAGTAATCACTAGCCTGTTATAAGTCCGCTACTTCATGAGATTTAAAGGTGCTACAAATTTGTCTAAAAACGTTTAAACTGAAGTTAGATTCTCCTTCAAGCAGCAAGATTTTTTTTAACAATTGATAATAATCAAATGCAAGGATATTTCAATTATGAGATAAGATAACCTAGCTATTCAAAGCTTAAATTTCAAAAGCTTAGCAGTATTGGGAAGATAAAAGACCAGTAAGATCAAATTAGCTTCTTAAAAAAATCTTGGAAAATAATTGTCTCAAAATCTAAATATCAAATCGCCAAGATTTTAGTAATTTGTGCTATCGTTCAATATCTTTTCATTTCTCCAATGCACTGAGATTTATAGAATCTGTTAAGAAAAGTAGCCTGTCCCAAAAAGAAAAGTGATCTAAAAAACAAGACCACATGCAGGAGTCCAGTAAAAATACTTGGAACTGATATTTAATGGTCTGACTTGCTTCCGGCAGTAAAATGCAAATTGGTGGAAAATGCACATTTATGGATTTGGAGAATGCCTAGTGCCTGAGGCTGGGACTTTTTCTTATGTAAACTGCATTGGATTTGCTTGATGAAAAACCCTGCAGACACAAATCCTTTGAAGTTGAGTATGAAATATGTCCTTTTGTGCTCAGATTAAAAGCTGCTTGTGAACGAATATTGCCAACATCATCAGATGTCATCATGAGGAAAAAGAAATGTTTTTTTTAAAAAGAAGTTCAGTTCATTGCTCTATTTTCAGTGAAAAGGTCTTTTATTACAGAACAGTCTTTCTAACATAATCTGTTTCAAGGAAACTAAAGACACGCTTCACTGAAAGGTTGTTTCTTGAGGTTAGAAGAATTGACAGTGTTTTGCTTTCCTTGTGAAAGCAAAATATTTGGAGTAGACAGATCGATTGTGCACCATGTGTAAACTTAGCTGTATTATGCACCATGTATAAACACATAGGTAAATGGGAAACTACAGGCGCCCTTAATTATATAATTAGCAGTTCTTTTCATTGGTTGTTCGTCGCATAGTTAATTTCCTTGTGTAGAACGCGTGTATTCAATTAGCACATCATACCCCTGTTTATTATTATTATTATCCACATATCTCACAACTGTTTCTGTAACAAGCTTCTTTGCACTGAATTCTTGAGGTCCCATGGAATTTAGAAGGCAACCTTTCTCTCAAGAATAAGTCCCCATCTGCAAATTCTCAGAAAGCAAACTAAAATTGATTTTCTATGGTAATTGATTATGCTATTCCCTCAGGTTATTGCATCCCATTAAAATGGGATGATTTCCCAGTTTCTGGGTGTTAAACTGAGAT